CTATTTACATCCGGGTCTTCTGAAGCTTTCCGTCCGTTCCATTACCCTTAGCAATGACACCTTTTTGTTACTGTTTGATGCCTAGCCAGCCTACATTTGCGGTACTCCCCACGTCCCCCGCGGCCAAGTACGAACCCATTCTTGGGGATTTCCCATGAAAAGAGGACCTGTTAAACGTAGCATTTAAAGCTGTAAAGAATACACTCATAATAAACTTCATTTTTTTTAAACATCTTGACTTCCATAGCTCCACTCCCACTATCAACTGAAATGTCGAACCATTGCTCGGCTCTGAGTGACCCTTGAGATTACGACCCCCCTCTCCATCGGCCAGGTACGACCCCCCCCCATGGGTTTGGCACAACGATGCTGTACCCTGTTATTACCCAGCTAATTGAAATGGCTCCATTTCATCACTGAGGGGGGGGGTGGGTGGAGTGTCTTTCTTGCGTTGTCACAGACCAAATCGATTCCTACGCATTGCCACGTTTCACAACATATTGGCCAAAGCGCATAAAAGTTGCGCTAGAAATGGAGGCCTTCTTCTCACTCAAAACTTGAACATTCTTCACAGCTGATCGGACTTGATGCGTCAGCAAATCAGAAGGCGGAGAATTTGCGGACAGATCATCGACCAGAGTTCAGGTACAGTTGCTACTCTTTAAACGAGAAAAGCGTGGTTTGAAGAGGAAGTTCCTTCCCAGCAAAAGTAGCGAGCTCAGGATGGCATCAGTTGATCGCAAAGGTGGTCGTCGCGCTTCGATGCACGCCCTCACCACGCCCTCTCGGTTGCGGGAATAATGACTATACTAGCACAGTCAGCGAGATCAAGCCAGTTGACAAGTTAGCGTCAAAATGTTACATGGGCCGCGAATGGCGGCAAAATATCTAGGTGATTTGTGACCGGTCGAGCACGAGTAGTTTCGCGCCCGAGAATGCAGATGTTCCTTTCAGTGTTGCGCTATCCTCTCAGCATCCACTACTTGTTCAAAGAATTCGAACGGTAGCAATTTGTGGACCATTGCAAACAAATTTCAGCAATGAATCTGCGAAACTCGGGGGAGCAACAGTTGCCCTAGCATGATGCTTCACAGCATTACTTAGCCTTATTGGTGATGAGGGACGTGGGCCTCGCAACTGCCCGTCAACTTCGTCTTGAATGAGTGTCTTACGAAGAATTTCTACTGATCAGTTGGTCCAAGGGAACCCTTCCATCTTGATCTTGTTTATTTGATTCTTTCAAAATTGTGACCTCGACAGACCACCCTTTCGAAAACCTCGCGTGATTTCACAGCAACGAGCTAGTCGGTCTCTTTTTGCATCGAAACACCTGTAGTCCCAGGAGAATTCGTTCTTGTGATAGCGCTTTGCTTTTACTAGAGGTCAGTGAGCTGAACAAAGAGCAAATTCAACATTCATGTTCATAAAGCTGAAAAGCTAAAAGCACCGTAAAGGGGTTCCAGTGAAAGAGAACAGCGCCAAACCTAGAGCAAAAGATTCCTGGGTCAAGACAGAGACGAAAAACCCACCGTAGGAGACAACTCTGGACGGATTGCATGGCTACAGTTATCTTTGTACTTTGATAGGTTCTCTATGAAATTTTATTTTCCCCTTATCAAAACGACAATTTCCATGACAGCTGATCTCCATCGTGAAGAATATAAACGGATGTGAGAAAGGCAAAGTCACTTGGCGCCATGGTGAGTTACATTTCTTTCTGATCCACGTAGGAGTGACCGTTAAGGGACAAATCTCTTTTTAGAAGCTCTTAGCGCTTGCTTTCTGCGTTTGCCTTGCGCAGGTGTCCTTCGCATCCAAGGAGTATGATCTTGGTTTGTCCTTTCACCTTCGCCACCACTCTTCACCCTTACGATGACCAATTTTCATTTACAGCGGCACTTCGAGCTCAGAAAGTCCCACCAGAAGCGCAGACGCTGACTGGTGAGCCACTTGTCAAATACCTCAAGGAAAATCAAAAACTATTTCGAGGTATCTTGAGACGTACAAAAATGTCAGAAGGGACTCCCTAACTGAGAATTCCCACTTGCAGGTTGCAACAAAACCGACAATCCGTAACTTGAAGAGT